ATTCTTTCAAAAATAAAAAATCAGGGACCCCAAGACTCTTTTAAAGTTTTAAGGAAATACGTTAGGGATCCCAAGATTCTTTCACATTCTTTCAAGAACAAAACACCAAAATTCTTTTAATCTTTCGAAAAATAAAACACGAGAGACCCCAAAATTTTTTTAAATATTAAAGAAAAACATCAAAAATTCCAACATTCTTTCTAAAATGGAATACCACGGACCGCAAGGTTCTTTTAAATTCTTAAAAAAAAAACATTAAGGGTTCTAAAATTCTTTCGAATTCTTGAAAAAAGACATTAGGGACTTCAAAATTCTTTTCAATATTCTCATAGACAATACACCAGGAGTTCCCAAGATTCTTGTTAATTCTAAAAAAAAGCTATTCCCTATATTCCCCCAATGCGTTCTTTTAATCCATTCAAAAAACACCCAAAAGACCAAGATTCTTTTTAGTTCTTAAAAAAAGACATTAAGATCACTAAAATTTTTCCAAAGACAAAACATCAAGGGCTCTAAAGTTTTTTAAATCTTTTTCAAAAACAACTACGCAGAGTCCTTAAAATTCTTTTAAATTCTTAAAAAGAAATACACCAGGGACCCCAAGATTCTTTCAAATTAAGGGATTTCGAAAATACAGCATACAGAATCCACCAAATCTTTTAATCTCTTTCAAAAATAAAACATCAGGGACCCCCAAGATTCTTTTAAAGTCTTGAGGAAATACGAAAAACACCAAAGGTCTTTTAATCCCAAGATTCTTGTAAATTCAGAAAAAAAACGCTGTCCCCATCAAAAAAACACTCGAAGTCCTAAGATTTTTTTTAATATTAAAGAAAAACACCAACAATTCCAAGATTCTAAAACAGAATACCACGGACCGCAAGATTCTTTTAAATTCTTAAAAAAAAAAACATTAGGATCCCAAGATTCTTTCGAATTCTTGAAAAAAGACATTTGGGACTTCAAAATTCTTTCAAATAATCTCAGAGACAATACACCAGGAGTTCCTAAGATTCTTGCTAATTAAAAAAAACCGCTATTCCCCATATTCCCCAATGTGTTCTTTTAACCCCTTCAAAAAAACACCCGAACCTCCAAGATTCTTTTTAATTCTTAAAAAAAGACACTAAGTACACCAACATTTTTTCAAAAATAAAAGATCAAGGGCCCCAAAGTTTTTTAAATCTTTCTCGAAAACAACTACGAAGAGTCCTTAAGATTCTGTTATATTCTTAAAAATAAATACACCAGGGACCCCCACGATTCTTTAAAAGTATTGAGGAAATACGTTAGAGATCCCAAGATTCTTTCATATTCTTTCAAAAACAAAACTTCTTTTAATCTGTAAAAAATTAAAACACCAGAGACCCAACAATTCTTTTAAAATATTAAAAAAAAAACACCAACAATTCCAAGACTCTTTCAAAAACAGATTATAACTTTGCACAAGATAAAGTTGTATTTTTTTAAATTATTATTATGTTTATGTATTATTTCGTCATATTTTTAACTTAAACCCACTTTTTAATACTTAGATTATTGAGATGTTCTTGCAAAAATTCACTTTGATTGTAATGCATCTTTAGCGATACGTAATCAGTTATAGTTAATTGAAACGAAGGTCTTAAATAATGCAAATCCATACAGCTGCATTAATGAAGCATTTTTTATTTTAGTTTCTATTAACTTACAAGTGCGTTGTGAAAGTCATGAAGTGTCTATTATCGTTTTTATAATTACTGTATTCCTGTAATTTCTATCGTTACATTTATAAAAAATAGAGCCGCTGTGGCAAAGATCCCGTTTAACTCTCGAAATAGAATTAATTTCGTGAAGTTTAGCCAGCGCAAAATTGTCGCGTTAACCTCATTAGCACCGATTAGAAGAAATTATGCACCGTTCGGTTTTTGAACGTCTGTCTGTCAATAAATGTGCGAATTGACATGTGGGTTTAAAGCATTGCATATGCATTTTGCACCGTCACCTGATGACCCGATTAAATTCTAGCGTCAGTCCGGCCAACACAATGACATTCATCTCATTAAATCTTCTCAAATTCAAGTTTACCTACCTCTCTTTCGGCTCGGCTTTGCCGCATAATGCAATTAAGTGCTACTAATATTTACGCCGTATCAATAGTTAATTTGAAATTAAAATTTTAATTAACACCGATATAAAGTCATAATCAATTAGCCAAGTATTTAATGAATTTACACCGAGAAAGTTCGGAATCGATACATGAGGGAAATAATTTTTCTTAGCGAAAGCGCCTCGAGCCGTTTATCCGGTATTAAAAGCTCAGTCTCCGGCAACTCCTCCAGTCCGCAAAAAAAGTAAATATTGCCGAAAATAAACATAGTCAGATTAAAAATATCGGTTGTCGCGTTTTCGTTCAGGCAGTGCGCAGTGGGAGGATGAAAATACGTGGGAAAAAAATTGTTTTCTGGAAAATATTGCCGGCGCTGGAGAGAAATAACTAATTAAAAACCTGAAGAATAATAACTAATAGCGGCTGAAATGATAAAACACGGCGGAGACGAAGTTACCACAGGTATTCATGAGATACTAAAAAGCATCTGGAGTCAGGGAGATGTACCATAAAGCTGGAATGAGGCAATATTACTCCCGAATTTTAAAAAAGGCACCAAAGCAGAGTGCAGAAATTACGGATTTAGTAAACGTCGTCTATAAAAAATTAACCTGCGGTTAAAACAAAGTGAAACATTGGTCGAAATTATTTAGACAGAACTTCCCTCGCCCCTGAAGTACAGTAGATACATGTCCAGTTTTTCGAAAAATGACAAAATTTGATTTTGCAAATTCTATTTTTCTCTGATGATAACTTTATTCTGAAAAAAAAGTGTAACTTCAGTTCGTAATTAAATACATTTGGGAAAATAAAATGAAAACGTGATTAGTGATAGCAATTCATTGACGTGACCATTGACCACGTTAGTCATTATGAGGTTATATTTGACTCTGTTTTAAGCGAATTTTAACAAGTTTCTTTCGCTCCCACTTATGAAATATCTAGTTATGATTTTCTACGCGAACTGCAAATGAGAATGATTGTCTTATTATTGCATTTCTTGTTCCTGTCATCGTATAATACTTAGATACGAACGGAGAAGTGTAATTTTGACAAAAAGAATCATTGACCAAATGACCCAATGGACGAGCAAGTACTAACCCCGCCCGCCCCCTATTTTCTTAGAGGGATCTCATTTGTCAAAATCAGTCTTATCTTAACAGGTACTAGCCCCTCCCACCCACCCTCTCTTTTTTTAGAGGATATGTTATTTGCCAAAATCAGTTTTTCTTAGCAAGTACTAATGACTTACTTCTACAAAAAATGATCAAAATTTGGAAACATTACAAACTTACTTATATGCACAAGGCAGGAATTTTGAACATCTCTATTGTTTAGTTGGTTATGCTTTAATGTATGTTTTTTTTTGTTATTTTTGTTTGTAATTTATGAATCTCTTATTAAATTTTTTTTTTTGGTTTATTTATTAATGAAAAATAACAGCTTGTTTTATTAATAATAATGCACGATCATTAATTACTAGGTAGTGGTTGTTATGGTTATTGTCCTAAAAAAAAATAAAAGGTTAATTTTTTGAATTTTATAAAATTACGTTTTTTTCGTAATCTACATCATAATTTTTTTTTTATTATTGTTTTGGGACTTCCGAAACCCCGTACATAACGTTTTGAAGAGTTAATCCGCCATTTTCAAGACACCCGGTATAATCTTGCATTTTTTAGACAAGCACTTTCTCGTAAAAGTCAAAATTTTTCATAGGTAACTTTTTGTTCCTGAGACGATTATCATTTTTACCTCGAATGGATCAATTTCTTGGTGAATTTTAAGTCAAAAACAAAATGATTTTGATTTTATGACATGTGGTTCTCATGTCCAATTTCCTGTTTCTTTTTTTACATACATTTCAAAAACAGCCTGTGTAATGTAGGAAAGTAATATCGAGGAAACAATTTCGTCTGATATAGAAGTGACATGAAATTCGATAGTGATTACTGATTAGTTAGTTGTAATTTTAAATATAATGATTTTATATTTCTATTTATTTTTTGTACCTACATCGTATTATTATTTCACTTTGTCCATATAATTATATGCTTCAATCATGTTTTAATGTTATATGTTTTACATTATTGAAGAAAATGTTGTTGTTTTTAAAACTAGGATGTTTATTTCATTGTTTATGACTATAACTGTATTAATAATTCATTTCTAGTAATGATTTCAAATTTTTATTCTAATGAATACTTTTTGGGTCACAAAATTTAACAAACTGTTAACTCTGGTTGCAGTATAATCGATTTCGTAATGTTTTTTTAGGGCGATTCGTGTTAATTTTGACCCGTGGCCGCATATTTTTGACTTGGCCCCAGTGTGCAGCGCGCCGTTGTTGTCTTCCGCGTCCTCCCGCCGCCCCCACCCGCGAGTTTTCTCGTTTCGCCCCCGGAAAAATGGCCAAATAAAGCGCATCGGATGTTATATATTTTTATGTGTTTTCCTTGAAGTAAAGTTTTTGTGCTTTTTTCGTGTCTTGCGCCGTGCCGGCGCGGTGCACTTTATGCATCCCACCCCCTCCCCTTGGCGGCCGGCGTCGCCGACGGCGCGTCCCACCCCCGCCCCGCACAATTAACCCATCTTAACCCGTTAATTGTCGTCCACGTGCCGCGGCGTCGAGCGGCCATTCGTTTTTTCAGGCGTCCCTCGCGCCGCCCCCGGCCGGTGCATCGCCGCCGCGCTCTCCTTATGCACTCCTCCGCACGATATAACCCCGAGAATATAACCAATCAATATTAAAACTCTATATACACTCGATACTTACTTCCGCGTGTATGTACATACAATTTTTTTACAATTTTTTCTTCGGCGCTGCACTTCTTTTTCTTTCTTATTTCTGTAACCCAGTTCTCGGCGGGCGCCGCACTTCAGTCGACGGAAAACTCCTGAACTAACAAGTGCATCGCCGTCTCGCGGATGCGACACGGACGCAGGGCCGGCCTCAGGCGCCCCTCGCAGTAATTACGCGCTCGCAGCCGCTAAATACACGTGTGTCGTGCGAATTAGCGACGGGGAGGCGGAGTGGGGGCGACACCGCCAAATCCGCCCCACCACTCATTAACACCGCGGTTTTAATTGCCGCCGCCGACGCCGCCACCATGGAGTGCCGCCGGCGCGAGGCACGTGCCGATGCGTGGACGAGGAGGAAGACGCAGCCGCCGCCGGAGCAATAACGATGCATTGATAAGGAGACGGCGGAAAAATTTCCAAAACACGAAAACGAAAAGTTCCTCGAAAACACTAAAGTTCCTAGAAAATTTTCACGAGTATTTTTTTAAGATGACGGCTGTTAGAGACGTCCACGACAATCCGGCGATGGACAGTTCGGATTCGAGTGATTCGTGCGCGACGGTTTCGAACAATAACGAAGCCATCATCAGTACTTCGGCGGCGACCGGCTTGTACAAGCCGACTTTGAAGTATAACGATTTCGTTAATAAGTTGGATAGTTATAATAATAACCAGCTGCTGCTGCCGACGCAGTTTTACAAAACTTTGCTTGCCAAGGCGGTGCTGTCGAGCAGCAATGACGATAAGAGCAGTGTCTATAAGAATATGCTGCAGTTTCATAAGGATCGGGACTTCGAACAGGTACTCTTCAATGCTTCGATTCTAGACTCTTTTTCGAAAATTTTTGCTAAGTACTTTTTTTTTCGAACTTCTTTGATGAAAGTGCCGGTAGTACCTGCATTTGTGTTTATTTAGATGAAGTATGGAGGCAAATTTTAGAAAATTTCATCTTATATCAAAACAAATATCTACCTAAGTAAAAAAAGGATCTCAATTCCTAATATCCTATTTATATCTCTATTGTAGGTATGCTAGCTCTAAACGTCTTCTCCATTTGTTATTCTAGTCCATAGTCCCAAATACTTCGTTTCTCCTGACATTTTGACAAATTTCCCACAACACTTATTTCCCCATTCTTTCTGCTAACAGCGACAAATTTCAGATTTTTTTTCTATTCTTTCATCATTTTCTTGTTTTATATGTCTATATTTTATTTTAAACGGTCCAATTTAACGATAATTTTCTCCACATTTTGCAATTTGTAGAAAACAAAAATGTCGGTCTTCCGTTTCCGTCTGCCTGTCTGTCTTTAGACAAATAATCTCGGAAATGCTAAACAATTTGTTAAAATTTATTCATCCTCAGAACAGGTTTTGCCACCATGTGTTTTGCTAATAGTATGTAACTCCAAATATTTTTATTTAAACTTTACCGGTGACAAGTAAAATTTGAAACTTTTTTTTTGAGTTTATAGTATATTTTAATTGAGATTGAGTTAATCATGCATTTAAAGAAGCGTTTGGCAACGTCTCATTGGCGTAGAGTCGGTCACGTGGTACTTTAATGCCGCATTAAAAATTTAGTCGCAATCAAATATTTAATTGAGCTTTCGTAAATCGGCTCTAAGTCTTTGATTTAACCACCGGTTAACCTAATACCTAACTGTTATTTATCCGTTGCTGGAAAGTAGCTTGTTGGAAAACGCCTAGTTTCATGTTTTCTCGACATTTCACAATTTGTAGAACACAAATGTGTCGGTTTGCGTTTTCGTCTGTGCGTCGTTTGTCTGTCTATTATTAAACAAATAAAATTAGTAAAATTAAATTTTACAAGTACTTGCGTCAAATCCTGTTGGTATATTGCTAGGGACTAGGATTAATCTAGTGATTAATAGACCATCGACTAAAATTTATTTGTTTATCCCCTTCAAATTCAAAATTTCTGACATCACCCATTTTCATTTCCTGAGCTTAAATTAAGTGAAATACCGTAACGGGATCATTTTGAAAACCTTACTTATTTTAACCAGTGCTGTTGAATTTTAGATCTGTCAATTCTCTTGTAGATGGTAAAATCCTAATTTCTAACCAAAATTTATTTGTTGATTCCCATTAAAATTTTAATGATTTTGTCATTAATTTATCCGTGGTTTGAAACTAAATTTGTAATTTAGCCAAATTGAAAATCTCTAAAATCACCCATTTTGATTTCCATCGCCTAAATTAATAAAATATAGTAACAGGATAATTTTGAAAAATGCTTAATTTTATGTTTTCTTGACACTTTAGACATTCGAAAACATCGGTCTTCCGTTTCCATCTGTCTGTCATTTGTCTATCTGTATTAATGTAGACAGATTATCTCAAAACTTACTACTTAATTCAATAATTTCTATTAATTTTAGATATGTTGGACGGTTATGTTGGAGATGGTAAAACCCCAATTTTTAACCAAAATTTGTCTGCTGATTCCCACCAAAATTTTAATGACTGTCTTTAATTTATCTGTTGCTTAAAAATAAATTTGTGATTGGGGCAAATTCAAAAATTTCCAAAATCACCCATTCTCATTTTCCCCGCATAAATTGAATAAAATATAGTAACAGGATAATTTTGAAAAATGCTTAATTTTGTGTTTTCTTGACACTTTAGAGCTTGTAGAATTCGAAAACGTCGGTCTTCCGTTTCCATCTGTCTGTCATTTGTCTATCTGTATTAATGTAGACAGATAATCTCAAAACTTATTACTTAATTCAATAATTTCTATTAAATTTTAGATATGTTGGACGATTATGTTGGAGATGGTAAAACCCCAATTTTTAACCATAATTTGGCTGCTGATTCCCACCAAAATTTTAATGACTGTCTTTAATTTTTCTGTTGCTTAAAAATAAATTTGTGATTGGGGCAAATTCAAAATTTCCGAAGTCACCCATTCTCATTTTCCCCGCATAAATTGAATAAAATATAGTAACAGGATAATTTTGAAAAGTGCTTAATTTTGTGTTTTCTTGGCACTTTAGAGCTTGTAGAATTCGAAAACGTCGGTCTTCCGTTTCCGTCTGTCTGTCATTTGTGTACCTGTATTAATGTAGACAGATAATCTTAAAACCTTCTACTTAATTCAATAATTTCTACTAAATTTTAGATATGTTGGTCGATTATGTTGGAGATGATAAATCCCCCATTTTTAACCAAAATTTGTCTACTGATTCCCACCAAAATTTTAATGACTTTGTCTTTAATTTATCTCTTGCTTAAAAATAAATTTGTAATTTGGGCAAATTCAAAATTTCTAAAGTCACCCATTCTCATTTTCATCGCATAAATTGAATAAAATATAGTAACAGGATAATTTTCAAAAATGCTTAATTTTATGTTTTCTTGACACTTTAGAGCTTGTAGAATTCGAAAACGTCGGTCTTCCGTTTCCATCTATCTGTCATTTGTCTATCTGTATTAATGTGGACAGATAATCTCAAAACTTACTACTTAATTCAATAATTGCTATTAAATTTTAGATATATTGGAAGATTATGTTGTAGATGGTAAAACTCCAATTTTTAACCAAAATTTGTCTGCTGATTCCCACCAAAATTTTAATGGCTGTCTTTAATTTATCTGTTACTTAAAAATAAATTTGTGATCGGGACAAATTCAAAATTTCTAAAGTCACCCATTCTCATTTTCCCTGCATAAACTGAATAAAATATAATAACAGGATAATTTTGAAAAATGCTTAATTTTGTGTTTTCTTGAGACTTTAGAGCTTGTAGAATTCGAAAACGTCGGTCTTCCATTTCCATCTGTCTATCATTTGTCTATCTGTATTAATGTAGACAGATAATCTCAAAACTTACTACTTAATTCGATAATTGCTATTAAATTTTAGATATGTTGGAAGATTATGTTGTAGATGGTAAAACCCCCATTTTTAACCAAAATTTGTCTGCTGATTCCCACCAAAATTTTAATGACTTTGTCTTTAATTTATCTGTTGCTTAAAAATAAATTTGTGATTGGGGCAAATTCCAGATTTCTAAAGTCACCCTTTCTCATTTTCCCCGCATAAATTGAATAAAATATAGTAACAGGATAATTTTGAAAAATGCTTAATTTTGTGTTTCCTTGACACTTTAGAGCTTGTAGAATTCGAAAACGTCGGTCTTCCGTTTCCGTCTGTTTGTCATTTGTCTATCTATATTAATATAGACAGATCTCAATACTTACTAGTTAATTCAATAATTGCAATTAAATTTTAGATATATTGGAAGATTATGTTGTAGATGTTAAAACGTCAATTTCTAACCAAGATTTGTCTGCCGATTCCCACCAAAATTTCAATGACTTTGTCGTTAATTTATCTGTTTAAAAATAAATTTGTGATTCGGGAAAATTCAAAATCTCCAAAGTCACCCATTTTCATTTCCCCCACCTAATTTGAATAAAATATAGTAACACCATCATTTTGAAAAATACTTAATTTTGTATTTTTTTGACACTTCAGAATTTGTAGAATGCGAAAACGTCGGTCTTCCGTTTCCATCTGTCTGTCATTTGTCCTATCTATATTAATATAGACAGATCTCAACACTTACTAGTTAATTCAATAATTGCTATTAATTTTTAGATATGTTGGACGATTATATTGGAGATGGTAAAACCCCAATTTTTAACTAAAATTTGTCTGCTGATTCTCATCAAAATTTTAACGACTTTGTCATTAATTTATCTGTTTAAAAATAAATTTGTGATTCGGGCAAATTCAAAATCTCCAAAGTCACCCATTTTCATGTCCCCCACCTAATTTGAATAAAATATTGTAACAGGATCATTTTGAAAAATACTTAATTTTGTATTTTTTGGACACTTCAGAGCTTGTAGAATTCGAAAACTTCGGTCTTCCGTTTCTATCTGTCTGTCATTTGTTCTATCTATATTAATATAGACCATTGATCTAATAAAGGAGTGGATGGAGCCTTGTGTACGTTTCCATACGCGAGCGAGTGTAATCAACACAAGAAAGAAATAGCAAGAGTTGTTATGCATCAGTGGGAAAAGGATGGCTGACCACGTAGCACGTGCTGGGTGGCAAAAAACGTTTCATTTGAACGGGAATTAATACGTTTTCTTACGAATTTGTTCAAACAATCAATTATAACAAACGTTTGTTAATAAAAACTATATTTTTACAGTTTACATTAAAATTATGTGTAATATGAAACAACAAAAATCATGTTTAGTGGTGGAGATGAAAAATGAAATGTATTCAGAATGTACAATATATTACGAATTCAGTTAATACAATAATAATCTTCTACAAGTTAACTAATCTTGTAGTGTATGTTCACTGGTAAATCGGAAATTTTTAGGATAAAATTAATTAAAATCTTTCGATAAAAGTGACAGGGTGCCTAATTAAATTAAACATATTAAATTGTGTGGAATTTTCTAGTAAAATCTATTTTCTAAATCCACGTACAAATAACTAAAATAATAATCAATAAATATAAAATTCCCTCTTTTTGTAGCAACAATCCATTTTTTTCGTAACTCGGAATGTTTAGGGAATCTAACAAAATTTTTAAATTATAATACGAAATCCTTCGTCTCTATATGTGATTATTACCTATGAAATGAAACAGGATTGCTTTCTTTGCACATTCTCTGCAATTATACGCACAACACGATTTCACAATGTTTAACAAATAGTCCGATAAAATATAACTTAAGAAGACTGTAGTCATTTAAATAAGGTAATTTGAGCCTAAAAAACGTAAATTTGCAAAAATACACCTTTAA